CTGGTAGGGCAATGAAAGCTTCGCAAATAAACCATCCAGCTAGCTCAGAGAACATAACTACATCAAAATCTTCCATTGGCATATGGTACCACAGTCATACAATTGTTGAATAAGGTTTATAAATACTTACGGTACTACGCTCCTTAGTGTTGAAGCAGACAGATTCTTTGCTGCTGAAGTGTGATTCGAAAGCGGTAATTTTGTAAATTTATTCGTATAATTTATCCCAATGTTATGCAGAAATAATTATTGCATGTTTGTAACTGAGATATATGAAAATACTCACAAGTCACTGAACTACTAATAAATAGTATAAAATTATGAGTAATTATTTAAATTATTTCATTCGTATTAATAGCATCGTTGTAGAAAATGCCATTCATATGTTTGTATCTCTCACGGATGAAGATATAATATCGGGAATGAAAATACTAAATAACGTCTTTACTATCAATCAGTTGTAATTATCTTGATCTTTTTGACTCAATTAACTACGTGTGCAAGATATTTCTAGTTCGTACTTTGATCTGTAAATGGATGTAGTTCAATTGAACTTTGAAGTTATTGAGAAACTAGCTTGATCGTATACTTTGAGGAGTAATTAAGCCATTAAGTGTTCTGAGCATTAATTTCCATGAAATATTCCTGTTATATGAACTGTACTAATTGCTAAATTTATCTTCTGATTTTACAGTCCAACTATACGGCAAAAATGAAGCCTTATTTTTCAGATCCTAAAGCGTTCAAGATTACAATATGTGATCTGTGTTATATAATTGAATGGAGGATTTCATCATGAGCTGACATCAGTTACAGAACCAACTGGGAGTACTGGACAGCCAGCTGTTTCGTCTCAGTTTGGGACCCTTCAGCAGTACGCACCCACCGCCAGGGTTCGAACCCAGGACCTTCTGGTTACAAAGCCAGCTCGTAGACCATTGAGTCACTGGGATTCAATCAAATGGTCCTTGAATTCTAACTTCTATCGATTCACGACATAGTATGACCACTTCGCAATGTCTTCTTCGATGAGTTACTGCCTCATCTTCCAGTGGTTCTATAACTGATATCAGCTCATAATGAAATCCTCCATTCAATCAAACAAAATCCCTACAAAACCAATACTTGTGTTATATATATATCATAAATAGCGATCGACAAATCAAGTGAAACAGAATGATGGTAATAGATGCCTGATTGATATGAATGGTTGGAGAAGACTCCCATTAAGTAGTAGTGTTTACTAGCTAGGTAGAGATGATGCAAACCCTGTAAAATGGTTTCGCTTGTTTGAGACCATCAGCCATGTACTTGAATAGATTCAAATCAGACAGCCACATCATCTCATACTACTCAAAAACTTGGAATATCTAAATTACAATATATGATTTGTTTTGTATGACTGTTATGTACAATCGTAAGCGAGTGCAAGAGTCACTCAGTGTTTAAATAGCTTCAGTTCTTTTGACAGGCTCTAGACATTAACGTGAATACCTTCGACCAACTTATATGAATTACTACAGACTGAGTCTTTACCAGATTCAAATGACTTGTGCCCACTTGTACACACAATCAATGCATTTATAGCTATAAATGAAATGTTCCATTCGTTACGTAACATGTATACTTATCTCGCATAAGTATATATTTATGTAAATATAGGATACACTTTCACATGAAAATTTTTAGTTAGGGCCTTTATAGATACAATCTTTGATGAATGGCCCACGCAGTATGCATTGAAAGTTATAATTTGTCAGAATAAGTGCACGAAAATTTCAAATCAAAATAAGTTTTAGAAAACAAGACTAAGTTGTAGTTTTAAACCTTGTGATAAGAAATTAGGTCAGTCAGTCAGCCAATCGGTCGGTTGGTTGGTCAGGTAGTTAGTCAAATACTTGAAAACATTTTAATAGATACGTTTAAACATTTTAATTGTTCAAAAATATTTTCAAGAATTAGTCTAAGTGCAATAGTGTTCGCCAAGTAGGTGGATAGAAGCTGTTCGCTGTTAATAGAAGTGAAGTAACGTAGGCAATGACTAGCAGAAAATAGAGAGTAGTGAGCTACATCTGTGCATATAGATAATTAGAACATGTAGTGTATATACATAGTTCAAGTGAATGCCCAAAAATGAAGTCATCTGTCCAAATTTCACATCGCCTGCTCTCACCTTGGTATTCGGGCAAGTCTAGTATATGCAACAGTGGCTAAGTGGTCGACTGAATCAACTCTTCGCCATCCATTTACCTATATTACGAGGTGACCACGGATTAATATCAGTTAAAGAACCATTAAAAACCAGGGAGTACTGGACAGCTGTTCCCGTTGTCCTAGTTTGAGAATCATCGGCAGTATGCACCCACCACCAGCCAGGGTTCGAACCCAGGACCTTCCGGTTACAAGACAAGTTAGCTCATATATCATTCAGTCACCGGGACCCAATTCACTGGCCAGTTCATGAATTCTAACTTCTACCAATTCGTGATTTAGCGCCACCACCAATGCCATCAGTGCGAAATCCATCCTCACAATTGACTGGATGGACCTCACTGGTTACGACTTCTCACTAGAACTCCAGGAAACTCCACCCTGTAGCAAGTCACTAGCGAGCATCAGATTAATTTTCCATAGTTTGGTTTGTAAGTTTTACTTTTGTTTTTACGAGTTGATCACGGATTGATATCAGTACGTACTACTGATGATTCCAAGACTAGGATGAAACAGCTGTCCAATACTCTCTGGTAGGTTTTCAATCGTTCTTTAATTGATATCTGTCCGTGAACAACTCGTGGAAACAAAACTAATCCTTGCAAACCAACTATAGAAAATTATCTATATTAACCAGTTTATACTACTCAGAATACTTTATTATTGTCATTATTCCATTGGATTTCGGGGGAAACATAAGGCTTTAACAGAACGTCGATTCTCATTTTATATTTTTAGCTAGCTCCACGAGCGACAATAAGCTTTTATTTCCTCTTCACATGATCTTCACCATGTCATCCTCAGACCCACGCCCAACTCGTCTACTATTCGGGTTTCAGCTTGGTTGGTGTGCGACACTTATCAATGGTCTCCTCAGCATACTTTAAATCTATCTCCATTTTATTCTGCATATTTTTGGGGGATAGGTTTTTGGTTAGTTCTATTGTGGTGAGAGCTGGCTGTTAGTCAAAATTGGTGGACAGTAGTTTACGTCAATGTTTATGTCCCAAATATTCGTCGTGTGAAAAATAAGAACAAAGACTTTGTGTAGGCGGATACAGTTAGTATATAGATGATCTGTTGCCTGGCCCTTGTTTTCTGTTGTTACATTAGAGTTTCCTGTTGCTTATCATTTTCAGCCAGCCATCGACAGAGTGAAGGTAGCTGTTGATGGAAGTCTCTATTAGTCTATCGGAAACGCTTCTCATGACAAATACACACACACACACACACGAAGTCTGTGAATTCTATAGAAGTAGCGACTTGATGGACACTAGCGTTGAACATCCGGATCTTTTAGTTTATACTAAGTGCAGCCAATTTCTACACTGATTTCAGAGTGTAGAGTAAGCGTGATTGATTAGGGAGAGAGAGAGAGGCAGCTTGAATTGATGATGATTAAAATGTATCATAATATCCGATTGGTTCTTTTGTTGCTTAATACGTTTTTCAGCTTATCACGTGACTTATCTGTTTATAGTTAATGAAGGCAAATTGATTGATAAGATAACTAAGATATGTGCCAGGTGTATTGAAACACCGCCTTCAAGTATGATTAAAAAGTTAACCAATGTGTGTAAGGATCTCAGTAGTAAGCAAACAGTATGGGGCCAAGTTAAACTTTAAGCACTATTAACTACCGATGGAGTGCGACCGCACTAATGTCCCACAGCTGTAATGAAGAATAATTATTTTGGCAAGTTATCTAAATTTGAAAGCTCCTCAGGTAAGTGTATCTCACTAGTCTTTCAAGTTTACGATTCTTTAAATCAGCTATTACGTTGAGAAACAAATCAATGAGGGTCACTATTTCTGAAATAACACGTAAGGTAAATTTTATCACGAATGGACATTCTCAAGGGAAATGTCGAAAGCATAAAAGGCAATAGATAACTACTTCATCCTTCGTGATAAATCTTCATGAAATTTCACTCCCAACCTACTTAGTAAGTGATACAATCTAGGGTTTTTCTTAAGCTATTAGAGTTAGAGTAAGATAATTCCTGATTTCTGACTTCTAGCTTAGAGGAATAGGTAAGCAGGGTAAAAAAAAATCGATGGTGTTATGAAGCTACATCGGTTAAGATGGTTAAGACACTTGATGTGCACACTGAATCACTTCCTTTCTCGTCCAGTAATGTTTTGAATCATGTACACTACCTGATTTGGGTCTTTAGGTTGCTAATAGTTAATGACTGGAGACTGTCGTCGATATGGCTCAAAATCGTATGGCTCAATGTCACAGATTTATTCACTTCTTGTGATCCATTCACTTATTCGACGAAATTATTCTTTCTGAGGTAAATACCCGTTTCTTAGCATTGTGTTTTCTTTATACTAATGTGTATTTTGTGAAGTGTGGCATTTTGAATTACTGTGCTTTCGGTAGGAAGTGTTTACGCTCAAAACACATTTCATTCATTTGTGGTGACAGCTATATGCAAGCCAAAATTGTAGACAATAATTTACGTCAACGTTCACGTCCCGAATCATGGTTATGAGAAAACAATAACGAAGCTTAGCCTTGAGAAAATCACCAGCCAATCACAGGGGACTTAACGTGTACAAATAGGATTCGCAGATATATGGCTTAACTTTCTAAAAAACGATCACTAGCAGTACAGAATAACCTTCAGCAAGAAAACAACCAATCAGAGGAGATTGCTTCCCCGCGAGGAAGGTTGATTTTCTGAATAAACGATCTTTTGCCTGTCCCTTGTCTACTGTCGTCGCACATTCATTAACTGTATCTCTTTGACTTTTTTCTTTTCTTTTTTTAAAAATGGAAAGATTTATGAATCAGGTGAAAAAATGGCCTATTGTCGTTTTATTAATAAACAGCTTCAACATGATGTGGATTGTCGACCATATTTACCATTGGATCCATTCAATGAAGATTTGTACAAAACAACAAAATATGGTATTCTCCTCATTAAGCTTATTAACTCTTTATTTGAAAATGCTATTAATGAAAATGCTATGCATAAAAATTCTATAATATTTTATCCAAGTCAAATGACAGAGAATGTTCTCTTAGCCTTAACATCAGCTCAGTGTAATGGTTGTCCGGTTGGCGATTTCACTGTCTCTGATTTAACTGATAATAGTAAATTATCACGGTGTATTATCTTAGAAGTTATATGGCAAATTATTAAATGTGGTTTCTTTCGTAAAATTAATATTTATGAACATCCTGAATTATGTAATCTTAAATTGCCTAATGAAGATGTGAATGATTTGAAGTGTTTATCACCAGAGAAATTATTAATGCGTTATGTAAATTATCATTTAAAATATATTAATGTTGACAAACAATTAAATGATATTGAAACCGAGTTATCAGATGGAGTTATCTATGCGCATTTGCTACCTGCTATTGCACCAATCACAATTCAAGGACGTTTACTACCAAGTGAACAAATTCTATTGGGTGAAAGTAATTTAATTACACGGGCTAAAGGTGTTCTACAAAATCTACGTGAAATGGAAGCTGATATGTTTTTGTGTCAGACAGATTTTACGGATGCATTTAATTTTCGTGAAGCAAGAGGACGTCTACACTTAGCTACTATTGCTTATTTATTTTTAAATTATCCTGGTCAGTTGAAAAATCCACGTCGTAATAATGAACCAGTATCCTATGAAACATTACCAGAGTTAGTATGTCGTAATTTTGTTAATTCATGTGCTATACAACCATTTTCAACACATGTTTGTGTTAATCTGAGAGATGGTTTAATGTCACGTCATCTATTTGAAGTGTTACGACCAAATTCAACATTGGGCATGAAATTTATTACAGAATTTGATCCAAATAGAAAAATTATACAGTTTATACAGAATAATACAAATATAATACGTCTGATTCTTGGCTATCCATTACCAATTGCACATATTGATGCAGAAAAGTTATCAAAAACTGATGAAGCGTGTTGTTTAAATCTTCTTCTAGAAATAATGCGTGCCTATTTAACTAGTAATCATTTTAATGAAGTTGATTTATTGAAGTGGACAAATGATCAGTTGAATCGTGCTGGTCATAAAACTGAATTAAGAAGTTTTAATGATTCAGCAATTATAGATAAGAATTTATTCGCTGTTGTATTGAATAGCCTAACTAATGGTCTTGTTGATGATCGATATTTAACATCGAATAAAGTGAATAATGCAGCCTATGCGATATCTGTAGCGCATAAAGCTGGTTATCCAGTATTTACTAGACCAGAACAATTCGCTGCATGTAGTGGGGCTTATGTATCTTTGGCATTTGCTACATTACGTTGGTTCGCACCAAGAAAATAGACTATGTATGTGTATGATGCAAGTTTGAAAAAAGCGGGTAAAATAACAACCAATCCAATGTTTCAATATTTCGAAACAGGTGGTTTGTTTACTTCTTCTAAAGAAGTACCCTATAAGAAATTGTTGATTTAGTAACTTTATTTTAAAATAAAAGAGGTGAAAGAAAATATGACCGTTTTAATGAGCTGTGTAATTTCCCAATCGTTTTATCGATTAGTACAGTCAAGGGTGTGTAGGGGGATTAATAGCGAGCATGGTAATGGAACAAATATTTGAATAAAAATCTAAATCCATGAAATAATGTCGTAACAGTATATTATAAAAAAAGGTAACGAGTTGTATAAATTAGAGGTTACTTGGTGATGCAGTTAAAGTCTGCTGCTACGAATTAATAATGTAATCCACGGGAGGGGTCACTGCTGGAGTCGTGTCTACTGGTAGAAGCTGTGCACCAGTTGTAGAATAGATTTCGGATGAAGATGAGAGGTTCCTGCAAAATCCAAAGTATACAACATGGTTAGTAGTGAAGCAAGTAGACAGTATGAACCAGTTGGAAGACGAAGTGAAAAGCAGCACACTGTAATTTAGATTGTCCTTCAAAGTTATGTTAATTTTACAACGAATCATTTTAGACAAAAGTTACGTACGATGTTCCCATTTTTAACATCTGAGAAAAACTTGTACAGTTATATTGCTCCAGACTCCACAGATGTATGCAGTCTGTTAGAGTGATCATAGTGAAACATAAAAATAGGAAGTGAAGACCTTTAGTCTTCACAAATCAATCGGCAATCTGTCAAATTCTGTTTTAAGCATCAATGTAAACAAGTTAAGTCAGGAGATTCTGATACATATAACTAGTTCAGTAATGCATGAATTTACTGACTGTGTAGATAAATACTTTGATGGGACACTAGTAACTATTGTGACGTGTCTAGTCCTTTCTTTGGTACAGACTGAATTCTATCAGTCAGGTTTGCAATGTGGCCACCATGTCACTAGGTAGCTCGCCATCACGATGCACATTGATTTGAGGATATTAGATGGTTGGAGGCAATCAGGCACAGGAAGCCTTGGACCTAGTTTTCGTGCTAGTTGTCACTCGTCAGCATTAGTCATCGGATAGTGTCCAATCAAAGTATCCACTACAGTCCTACAGGAGGTCAATCGCAAGCCAGCTCGAATAGCTCAGTAGTAACGTCTCTGACTGCAGTATTTACTGCGTGACGCGGGTTAGAATCTCAGAAGGGATAGAGTTCCTTCCAGGTTGCAGATACGCTTTGATGACTTGTGAGTGCCAACTAGCACGACACCTAGGTCCAAGGCTTCCTGTGTCTGATTGCCTCCAACCATCTCATATCATCAAATCAATGTGTACATGAGTGTTAGGAAATAGTCAGAATCAACGAAATCTGTGCAAATTTATATTCAGCATTTGTCGTTTTCAAAATTCTGAATGTATTTTCTCTAATTTATGATTACATCCCTATTTTATACGCCTTTTTGCATCATACTGTCTACTTGTATCTCAGCTTCGTGTAATATTATGAAGTATGAGAAAGTGAGTAGTCGAGATTGTACTTTATTGTACGTCTTTAAACAGTGAACACAAGACTAAATTGATTTATCAATACAGAAGTGCAACAGTTCGGTTTCTCACATTTAAAAACATGGGAAGAATAAAGTAACCACTCATAGTAGAGGAAACGGAACAGCATATATTCTGGCTGCACAAAAATACCCGATGATACACCTTTAAAGTAGTCAAACGTAACATTTGAAATGTTTACATTATTCCTGCGAAATCACATAAGACCAACTACCTGAGGAAATTCAAGCTGCCAATGGTCTCCATTGTTCTACCTGTCGGGGGTGGTTTTTTTTGGCTTCCATCGTTCTTAGTGGATGCGGAGTGGAGAGGAAGTGGAGAGCTATCAAGTCGAGGAGTTGCATCAGTGGAAGGAAGGCAAGATGATAGAGATGAGGATGAAAACAAAGATGAGTGAGTAATAGAGAGGTTTCGCGTGCGTTTCGGATTGTGAGGGCGATTGTTACTTCCCGGCTGCCCACACCGTGGAAGTTGGTTGCGTGAACGCAGAGCCCAGGGGACAACTGCTTGTGGCCGGTCACACGCGGTCTGTTTTTGTTCGTTCTCTTTTGGTTGGTGTGCCTCAGTAGCATACTTATCACTCCTGCCCTGTGACACGGCAGCAGGAAGCGCGGTCGTTGTTAATCCGGGCCACGGCCGATCCGGCATGAAATTTTGTGGTTTTCTATGTATCATTATGTTGGATTGGGTAGCTGCTTTTTGTTTAACCACTATCCAAACAACCTGCCTGGCATGGTAGGACCTCAAGAGACATAAGTCTCAGCCAGAATAGCTTGATCAGGTCATTGCGGTGTTCAAGCCCGACCACCACGTCAAGGTAGCAGCTTTCGGTCGGGATGCTTGGCTGTAAAGGGAATTCCGAGAAAATATATTGCACTGATTAAGGCACTCTACTCGTACTCATACAGCCAGGCGAGGGCTTACGGCGAGCTGTCATCTGAACTGATGACGACTAGTGGTGTCCGTCAAGGATGCCCATTATCCCCTTTTCTATTCAACTTCATCATAGATGTGTTAATGGACTTAACCCTAAGTGACTTCAGCGATTCAGGGATTGACTTGCTACCTGGGAATACTCTCGTTGACTTGGAATATGCAGACAATATAGTCCTTCTAGGCGAAGACGCTGACGAAATGCAGAGTCTTCTGAACACCTTGAGCTGTACTCTACGAATGTTTGGCATGCGATTCGCTCCCACCAAATGCAAGATGATGTTACAGGACTGAACTACATCGACGCCTAGTTTAAAAATAGGAAGTGAAGTGGTAGAGCACGTTGACCGCTTCACATATGTGGAAAGTACCATCAGCCAGTGCCAATGGGTTGATCTCTGACGAAATCTCAGCACGAATACAGGGAGCTCGTTTCGCATTTGCCAGTTTACGCCGACTCTGGCGTAGACGAGATGTTCAACTATCGACCAAAGGGCGGGTGTATTGCTCATCAGTCCGCTCCGTCCTCCTTCATGGCCAGCTGTGAGACCTGGCCACTGAGAGTGGAAGACATGAAAAGACTAGGTGTCTTTGATCATAGTTGCCTCCGTTCTATCTCCCGTGTGAAGTGGCATAATAAGGTGAGCAATATTGAGGTTTGGCGTAGAGTTCTAGGTAAACAGGGGAAATCAATCGATGAAGGTGTGAAGTTACAAAGACTGAGATGGTTAGGACATGTGTTACGTATGCCAAGCTATCGCCTCCCTCGACGAGCAATGTTAGCGGATATAGGGTCAGGCTGGAAAAAAGCTAGCGGCGGTCAAACAAAAACTTGGCTGCACCAGTCAATGAAATCCACAACAGTTAGTTTAAGCCACGTAGGAAGGTGTAGACTTCCAGGCTGGGGTCCTCGGGACGGTAAAAATCTATGGTTGGAAACAATTGGTGACATGGCTCAAAATCGTTCTCAGTGGCGCAGATGCATCCACTCCTTGTGACTTATGATTTCCAATGAAACTGTTTTGTTTTTCTTTATTACTCCTTTGTCTCACACCTCTGCTCACTGTTTCTATTATGCTTTTCTTGTACTTTCTTCTCTTGCTTCGCGTGCTACACGGAGTGTGGCGACTTGAACTGGTGCACATTTTTGCAAAGTTCTATGTCGAAAACAGACAGACAGACAGATTGTTCCACCTATGCAAGTATATTCAGAGGAAAGGTGGGGTTAATTCGTATTATCGATTACCTGTATACTCACCCCGTAAAAGCACACATAGAATTATGGAAAAAGAATGTAATGAAGCTAAAGAGGACGAAAATATTAGGGAATAAAGAATAATTAGGTGGTGACTAGCCAGAATCTTCAGATTGTACAAGTTGGCAAGTAGTGAATATACAGTTCAAAATGTCACAGATGTATAGATAAGCAAGCTACAGTACAGTTTCCGAATTATTATTACGTCAGTGAACTAAGTGATGTATATTTAATTCATTTATTTCGAATTATATTACCCATAGTCTACGGCTATCTTGATATGGTTTGGTTCAGGTGCAGCGAAATATGAAAGTCTGCCTTTTCCTTATATGAATGAATTTTACAAAATCTCTTTCTATGATGTAAGTTTATTTGCTTCATACGTTTGTATGCAGTTCTCAGTCCAAATTATTTTTGTAAACAGAAGAATCCTCACATTGAGTCTCTCTGTTCTCCTTTATGGATGTGAAATATAGCCACTGGAAGTAGTGAAAAGGTTAGATATCTTTGACCACAGATGTGTAACGTTCTATCTCTGGAGTTAATTGGCGTAATATAGCGGGTAATATTGAGATTAGACGAAGAGTTTTGGGTAAGGAAGAGAATTTAGTCAATGAGATTGATTGAGATGGTTCAGATACGTGTTATTCATCTGGAGGCAATACCTTCCTCAACAGGTAATGTTAGGCGATATAGGCGATAGTTGGAAAGAGATCCAGGGGTGGTCAAACCGAAATCTGACATAAATCAGTGAAGTCCTCTACAGTTAGTTTCAGCCATTTAAGGAGCTGTAGACTGCCTGGTTGAGGCTCTTGGAATGATAGAAACCAATGTCTGGAGACAATTGTTGATGTGGTTCGAAATCATTCTCAGTGGATTAGACGCATTCACTCAGTATAATTTCGTATAACCCTCATATTTCTCCATGTTACTTTTCTTTCTGCGGTAAATTTCCCTCCATTGAAATTCTTTTGAATGCATTTTTCAACACCATTGAGTGATACATGCAGTGTGGAGACTTGGACTACTGCTTTTGTCTGCTGAAACTCCTCCAGTTGGTCAGTCAGTCAGTTTTTCCGAAGAATCATTTCCAAATTTTGTACAGTCACAATTATATTCAATAGAGAAATCATAAAATTAACAAAATACTTGTAGCTATTTTCAAGAGTTCTTTTGTAGGAATTTGATATGTTTCAATTTCGATCACGGATTGATATCGGTTAGAGAACCATTGAAAACTAGCAGGGAATACAGGACAGTTGTTTCGTCCCAGTTTG